TTCTTAATAATCGATGCATAAGTACTAAGTAGCATTGTACATTTAAGTTTTATTTTTGTAATTGGACATTATATAAATTATTAAATTTATTCATATTCAAAATATTACTTATCAAAAAAAGAACAAATTTCCAAATGCATTCAGTTTTAAATTTAATATGTTTTGTAAACATTGTTCTTCACGCGATACAAAATCATATATAATTCTCAATTTACCATAAAATGACGTAATCACTAATTGAATTTTAATCTTTAACAGGTAATAAATTAGGATTTGGTTCATTATCTATATTACTTTATTTCTTATAAAGTTACTGAATAAATGAATTTTAAAGTATTATCATAAATAGCACTTTTAATAGGTATATGATGGAAAATAATATGTACGTTTGGTATACATTATTTTATAATATCGTACTATCTGTTATTGTTATAAAGAATTATATACGTGCCAACAAAATATGGTGGCCCTGAAAAGGGCCTTTTTAAATTTGAGTACGAAAACGTAACTACGAAAGCAAGTTAACCTCCAAAACCGTAAAGAGTACGGCCTTGACGCTTTAAAGTGTAGACGACATCCATGGCGGTGACAGTCTTCCTCTTTGCATGTTCGGTGTATGTAACAGCATCACGAATTACGTTTTCCAGAAATACTTTCAATACACCACAAGTTTCCTCATAGATCAGACCGGAGATACGTTTCACTCCTCCACGGCGTGCCAACCGACGAATTGCGGGCTTAGTGATTCCTTGGATGTTATCACGTAACACTTTACGATGGCGTTTGGCGCCTCCTTTTCCAAGACCTTTTCCTCCTTTACCACGTCCTGTCATGATTGAAAGTCTGAATGTGTTATTGTAAAATGAAGAGCTGCTGCTTTGGTGGTCGAACGTTCAATGTTGCCAACACTAAAGACGACGTTTGTTTTATCCAATTCACGTCGCACGAGCGGCCAATCGAAATGCCCAACCGAGTTCTCTCTTACGTGACCCAACCGACCAACGGGAACGCTGGATACGGTTCCAATTCGTGTATAAATAACGGTGCTTACACGGATGCATGGTAAACAATTAACTGACTCACCTATCACAACCTCTCCCCCACCTCCGAACATTCAAATCAATTGGGAAAAGTTTTATCACACACTCAATGCAGAAAAACCTAACACGGCTCTTCTTACAAACTCCAAGCAAAACATTGACATCAGCATCCAAGCACTCACCAATTCCATCCAATCAGCWCTTGACAACTGCTCGTACACTCGCGATAGGGGCAGTCGTCGCCTAGTTATTCCCGCGGAAATTCAACAAGAAATAAATGAAAAAAACCGAATCCGCCGAGAATGGCAACTAAATCGTGACCCCCAAATTAAAAGATCGCTAAATTCCAAAATCAAAACCATTAGAYTGATGCTACAAACGCATAGGAAGGACGAATGGGACAAGTACATTGATTCCATGAACCAAAACGAAAACTCTATATACAAGCTAAACAGGAGTTTGCTAAAGAAAAAGCCAGCCGCACACCCAATACTAGGACCAAACGGTTTGTCTTACTCTGCAAAAGAGAAATCTGAGATCATCGCGGACTCCCTTGAACGTCAGTTTTCTACCTTCAAGGGCCCAGATTTACCTGAAGTAAAGGAAAGCATCGCGGCCCTCAGAGGCTCAGTGCTTACTGGTCCCAATATTTTCACCACTCCAGGGTCAATCCAAAAACTTATATCCAAGCTAGCAAAGAACAAAGCCCCTGGCAGAGACCAAATCACAAATACTGCCCTAAAGTTTCTACCCAAAAATAAATTACTAGACTTAACTAAAATAATAAACGGTTGCTTCAACCTATGTTACTTTCCAAGCGTATGGAAACTCTCGTCCATWATTTCCATTCCGAAACCTGGCAAAAATCATCAACTACCAGAAAGTTACAGACCCATTGCTCTTCTTTCTTCACTCTCAAAAGTATACGAACGTTTAATCCTCCAATCTCTCCAAAAATCTTTAGCTGGAAAAATAAGAGATGAGCAATTTGCATTCCGTCAAAATCACTCAACTGTTCTCCAACTGACCAAACTTATGGACCAAATAAGCGAAAATCTCAACCAAAACATTCAAACAGCTGCTATCTTCCTCGATGTTGAGAAAGCTTTTGATAGCGTGTGGCACGACGGGCTTCTCCACAAGATGATGTCCATGAATATCCCTCTACAACTTATCAAAATCACAGAATCTTTCCTCTCARAACGAACCTTTTCCGTAAAAATTGAAAACCAAAACTCGTCAATAAGGAAGGCAAACGCAGGCGTACCACAAGGCTCTTGTCTTYCCCCTACGCTCTTTAATATTTATACGAATGACCTASCTACACTTCCTAAATCTCGTGTCTCCTTATTTGCGGATGACACAATGTTTTACTGTTCAAACCACAATGCGCGTTTTGCATCTTTCCAACTCCAAAAACAAATAAACCTGGCTTCAGACTGGTTTAAGAAATGGCGTCTCCATATAAATGAATCRAAAACCTCTGCAATCCTGTTTRGCCGTACAGGAACTGCAAAAATCAAAAATATCAATATAAATAATGTTCAAATCCCTTGGTCTAGGAGCGTTAAATATCTAGGAGTAACTATTGACCGCAACTTCAGTTTCTCCACCCACGCATCCAACATTATCAAAAAAGCTACTCAAATTCGAGGCTTACTATATCCTATTCTAAATAAAAAAAGCCCAATCCCCACTANCGTTAACTATTCCAGGCTTATGCCTCTACTAGTGGGTGGAAGTTTATTTGGAAGGTTTATGTTATTTTATTGATTTACCCAGGTGAGTGGGTAGGGTTTGTGTATGCGTTTGGTAGTTGGAGGAGTGTGAGTTTTGCCTAGAAGTCGGATGTGGTCGTGATTTGAGAAAGAGTTTTTGTAGAACATTGAATTGGTTTGGGAACGAATAGAATTTTGAATAGATTTGAAATTAGTGGATTTTAGAAGGACCGAGTTTTTWACGAAGGAAGKCARACCCGTTATAGTGCGTATGCCGATGTTTTGGACGGATTCAATGCGGTTCCATTGTGATTAAAGATATTTTATTTTTCAACTTTTATCTGTGCAGCTGTATTGACATTTTATTGTAATTCTAAATAATGATATATCATAATGTATATATTATCATTACAAATATCTTTAACAGTGTGTTAAATAATAATAAATTTCATTCTATTCGATCCATCCGATCCGATTCCGTCTAAAAGAAAAGKTTCATTAAAAACCGTCAAACGACCTAAAGATTGATTTGACCGAAAGACCGAATACTTTTTAGTACATCATTCAGTCACTTGAATGATTCGGTTACACMATATTTAATTTTACTGTAAATTAAAAAGKCCCTTTTCAGGACCATCAATATTCGTATGAATATTTATTATTAAAATGCCGTATTGATTTTATACTAAATGCTTGATTAGAATATGATTATTACTTTTCCTAGTTTACWAACACATGACCAAACGTCAAAGTTATTGAGATTTTATATGTATTAAACCATAAAAAATCTTATATATTTACGATGGAAAAAATATTCAGTTACACTTAATGTGACAGTGTAGCTCACACAATTCAATTAATA